TATATATGGCTTACTAAATTTTATTTGAAATTTAGAAGTTATGACCAGGAGGGATATTGACTAGCAGCTTTGTCTTATAATTATTTATTTTCTTGTATTTACTGTAAAGCACACATTTCAAAAATAAAATTTTATGTGTTCCATTTTCTATTTCAGTATACTATCATATAATTGTTAATTCTTCTTAACATATTGATAGAATTCTTTATTGAAACCGTTTATGCTTGTAGATTTTTAATTGATACTATTGATTTTTGAAATTTTCCATTTGGTATCTTTAGGTCATGTTTTTCTTACATTTAATTTTAATGATATTTTTTAATTGAAATAGATTTACATTCCTTTCCCCCTTTCTTTCATTCCTGCAGATCCTTCTAGTGACCCTCTCTCAAACCCCTTACATGTCCCCCAACTCTCAAGTTCATAGATTTTTTTCTTTGATTGTTATTATGTACATATATGTATATGTATGGCTGTGTATGCACACATATATAAGTATAACTTGTTGAGTCATTTTTGTTGTTTCTGTGTATATAGCTTCAGGAAAACTTAAAAGGGGTCTCATCCCCGGAAGAGGCCAATTCTCCCAGCAGTCATTTGTTGCCTATAATTCTTTGCCTAGTGTTGGGACTAAAGAAAAGGAACTTGGGATGGGAATAATAGAATACAGATGATATAAAGTAGGAAGCAGAAGAACAGTGGAGGAGAGAGGGAGGTCTATACAGAAGGAGAAAAAAGGATGGGGAACCAATAACACCAATGTTGTTTAATAAAGTTTTAAGGAGTTATTTTATATTACTTAACTTGTACATAATACGTGTGTGTGTGTGTGTGTGTGTGTGTGTGTGTGTGTGTGTGTGTGTGTGTGTGTGTGTCTTAAAATAAGTGAAGCTCCTTGAGCTGACACTGCACCCCCACAAGAACCTAAACTAGCAAAATCCAGGGAATGAGAAACCTCTACTCAAGTGATTGGTTAGAGTAATCAAAATGACTACCAAAACAATACAGAATATCAATGTAGCCATTATTACCTTTTATGGGTTGAGCGTGGCCCCTCTTGCTGAAGACAGCACATATTCAGGACAAAGGATTCAAAGGACTCCAGCTAAATCTGACTTGCAAGACTCTTTACTGTGGTCTAGCTTCTATGGTTCTAGAAAATACTATGTATCAAATTAGAATGAGAATTGTGAGTTAAAACACACCTTCTTTCACACAGCTCCTGCAGTTGTTAAAAGTTAGCAATAGGTTTCACATGGTAAAAGTCACTGTGTTGGCAGTGTTATATTTCTTTTTAGTGAGTAAAGAAAAAATATTTTCTTGAATTTTTCAACTTTTAGAAACTGCCTGCATTCTCTGGCTCTTGACGGCTTCCATCATCGACAGGCCCATCATTACTAGTCTTCATCACATCATCTTACTCTGACTCTTATACAGAGACCTCAAGGATATAATATAAGAATAAAGCAAAGCCCCAAAACACCAGGAAAGTGGTGGTTAGTGGCACAAACCAACCTCATACAGGAAATAAATTGGTCTCCTAATTATGCCCACAGTGTCCCCATTTCCTTAGATTCAGTTCAATGTTGTCTGTACACTGGATATTAAAGCAGGTTAATGTTACAAAAAATAGTATCCAAGCTGTCCTAAACAGTCCTTAGCCAGCCGCATCATCTATGAACCATGACAATTACCAGCATGACAAGATATGCATAAAAGTAGAATAAGTGACATTCACATGTCAGTATTATGTATAAATATTTTATTGAGGGGTATTTTTCAAATTGAAATTCACTTTTTACTAACTGTAGAAGTACTCAGATTAATTTTCATATTTTACAAGTTTTTTATTTTATTTTTTTTTTGAGACAGGGTTTCTCTGTGTTGTTTTGGTGCCTGTCCTGGATCTCGCTCTGTAGACCAGGCTGGCCTTTAACTCACAGATATCCACCTGGCTCTGCCTCCCAAGTGCTGGGATTAAAGATGAGTACCACCACCGCCTGGAATATTTTACAAGTTTTAATAGTGTTCCCAATGTTCTCATTTTGCTCTTAGTATATGAAGCATCTTTAGTAGTACTCCTGTTTGGATGTTGAGATTTTTTTTCTTTTTTGCTCAGTATAGAAAAGCTTTTAAATTTTATTGATTGTTTTCAAAGAAAGAAGTATCTTTGATTTGTACTTATTGTTCCCCTGAGTAAAAAATATCATTGATTTCTATCCTTATCCTTATTTTTACTTCTGTTTGATTTGGTTTTGTATTATAATTCTTCTTATTTTCTTATGGTGGGAATTTGTATTAGCTACTGTATACATTTAATAAATTAAATTCCTTTTCCTCAGAATTGTGTCACTGAGTTTTAGTGTGCTAGAGTCACTTTGGAGCTACATGACAATATTTGTGATAAACATCATAAAATAATTGTCTTGGACCTGCCTCTACTGAGTGTACCAGACTCTGCTGACTCCCCATGGGAGGCCTTACCTTCTTGTAGGAGGGAATGGAGATGGGTTGCTGGGGAGGCTGGAGGGGAAGGAGGAGGGAAGAAGAAGATCTGTGATTGGTATATAAAATGAATAAAAATATTTCTTAATAAAAATAATAAAATAATTAATGTCTTAACTTGGCTTATGGTCACTTGCTTTTATTATTCCTGGATCTATATATAGGCAGAACATTAGTACAAAGAACATGTGGCAGACTGCTCCCCTCATGGAGTCCAGGAAGCATAGACAGAGGGAAACCTGAATGAGGAGTCTATGTTCTCTTCAAAAGCACACTTCTATTGACCTGATTTCCTTCTGCCTCCTAAAATTTCTTTTAGTTTCCAATGATGCTATCAGCTAGAGAGCAAGTATTAAACACATGAGCTTTGAGAATGCACTTAAGATCTAAACCACTACATTTTACTTCTTGCTCTCAGAGGCTAATGCCAGTCTCTAAGCCAAAATGCATTCAGTCCATCCCCAAGAGTTCCAGAAGTCTTAACTGTTTTAGTTTTACTATATAGTCCAATATCAAAGCCTTATTTAATATTCAATGAAAATCATTGTCTCAGTCAAGAATAAAAGAAAGTTTCACGATTCTAAGACACAATGAAAAAGGGCAAATGTCTAGAATAGAAAATTGAATAATAGGAAAACTGTATTGGTGAATTGGACCAAACTCAACAATGCAGTTATTAAGTCCTGTAGCTCTATGACTGCATCCTAGACACATGATAGAATGATGTGAGCATCAAAGACTTGAGAATAGTCATCCCTACTTGATCTTGCTGATTGCAGCCTTCCTGGCTTCTCTCTTATGAGGCTTTTTACATACTCTTTGCAGCTTTTTTGGCAGATTGTTCTTTTCCTAGAATCTCAAGTCTACCTTGAAACTTAGGCTTCAGATGATAGCTTGGTGCACTGCAAACACATTGGCTGGCATCTCAATTTTTCTTTCAGTATATGAAGAGACACTTCTCATAATTGCAATTCTTAGATTCTGCATGCCCCCAAACCAAGTATGGGGAGATATGCCATTGGATACTGAAATAGTTGGGTTACCTTGGGACATGGCTACAGTAGCTTCTTATTTCCTATCCTGCTAAACATAGGAAAATATTTCTGGGGCTGTTGTTCTAAATTGGCCTGTGCAAGCTCTATTCTCAAATAAAAATTTCATAATTTTAAACATGTGACCTTTTGATAGATGATTCCTTCCCACTTTATGAGATGTCATCAAGGCATATTTAATATTTCCCTAGTACAATGTAACTTTTTTTTAGTGGTGCTAATTTCTTAGTCAATTGCGCCCAACTTGGCCTGAGTTGTATATGTGTGTATATGTGTGTATGTGTGTGTGTGTGATTATATATTGAAATATATAATCATAATAATAATGTGATAACATATATATATATATATATATATATATATATATATATATATATATGAGTTGTATATATGTTCTTTTTGGCCAAGTTGAAAGTATTTATTAATCATTATAATGTGCATTTCGTTCAAATACTTTTTTGTTGTTGTTATTATATTTGTAATTAATTAATTAATTATGCCATCGTACATTACATCCCGACCACAGTTTCCCAAATTCTCAGCATAAATTGGGTTAAAAGTAGCCAGCATTGTTCATGCCATTGTATAAATGCTGTGCTGCTTTGAAATTTGCACTATCTCTATGTTTATCTATTGCATGAATGTACCTTATTTGTTTCTATGTCTTTCACTTTTTAGCTATTATACTTACTGTTGCTTTGAATATTTGTGTAGAATTTTTCTGTTGACTTATGCTTTAATTTATCTTGCACATACAAATGGGAATTGAATTTGTGGGTCCTATGATAACTCAATGTGATAATTACTTAGAACACTACCATATTATTTTCAAAAGTGGCTAGAGCATTTGGCATTCGTATTTCAAGTCTATGCGGGCTTTAAATTCTTGCTGTCCTCCCCAACTCTTACTATTGTCTATTATCTATCATTTTAATAATAAGGGACTGGTGCATGTGAGCTTATCTCATTGGAGCTTTGACTAGGATTCCCTGATAAAGATTTTGAGTGTATTTTCCTGTAGTTATGGTATACCCACACAACTTTGAGAAGTATCTGCTTAATTTTTTTATTTATTTGTGAATTTGGATGTTTGTATTTCATTTTTGCAGCTATAGATCTTATTCACATATTCTAAATTATAATACCCTTTTCAGATGTAATTTTAGAGTATCTCACCTCACTTTATTGACTATAATTTTTTTGCTTTTCACAATATTATTTGATGAAAAAAATTAATCTGATAGAGATCAATATTTCTGTCTTTTATGTTACCACTTGTGGTGAAGTATCAAAGAATCTTTTGCAAGATACAATTCTAGAATATATATTACTCCCTTTTCTCTAAGTGTTATAACTTTAGTTCTTACACTTAGATTAATGATCCTCTTTGAATTATTGTATTTGCTGATGGCTAGTCGACTGATTTCATTCTTTTGCATACAGATATCCAATTGTCCCAGCACCATTTGTTGAACACTTTTCTCCACTGGATTGAGTTGGCACCATTATCAAAAAAATCACTTCACCATCAAAGTAAGGGTTGATTTCTTGACTGAATTCTATCCTAAGGTCTATATCAATTCTTATGCTAGTGTTATCATGTTTTGAACATTGTATCTTTATAAAAAAAAAAGATTTGTAATTGGGAAATGTGAGTCCATTTTAAAACCAGGATTGCTTTGGATATTTTGGGTTCTATACATTTCCATGAGAATTCTAGAATCACTTTCAGCACCAATTTCTACTGAAAGACCCATTAGAATTTCAATGAGGATAATGTTGTTACTGCAAATAAATTTGGTGAGTTTTTCCATCTTAACATTACATATTGTGATTTCTGAACACAAAATATCTCTTTTGGATCTCCTTAGCCCCCCCTTAATAGTGTTTTCTAGATACAGAACATACATTTTATACATAACGAGTTAAATCATAATTATTAAATGAATTTTAAACCAACTTTAAATGGAATGGTTTGTTAATTTAAGTTTCAGATTGTCCACTGTTATTATGTAGAAATACAAATATTTTTCTATATTGATCTTGTCTTCAACTTTTTGAACATTAAAATCTCTAATGGTCATCATAGATTACTTGAAGTTACTTTACTGTATTGTCTTTATGATTTGTATGTATATCTCACTGTATGCAACAATATAGACAAAGTTATCTGTCTATTGATATCTTTTTTAATTGCTCTCTGTGACTGAGGTTTCTAGTTCACTGATGAAGAGAAGCGGTGAGATTACCATCTTTCTTTGGTTCCTAATGTTCTGAGGGAAAACTTTAATTGTCTCCACCTTAAATATGCAATTATAAGGAGATTTATTTCAAAGATTCTATTCATAAGGTTGGCAGTTTCCTTCTGTATCAACTTTGTTTTGTATTCATGTAATGCAACTGTGTTGAATTTGGTCAATTATTTTTTGATAAAATTGAGATGATTCTGTAATTTAATCTATTAGTATCTTGAATTAATTAAAAATTTTAAAGTAAATTTCATTACTATGTTTTTGGTAAGAAGATAATGAGATCTATTCTTCCAACAAGTGTTTAAGTTGAGAATGTTACTACTATTTGTATTGTATGATTGTATACAGCAGCTTTATAGACTTTTACTTTTCATATAACTGAAGCTTTATACTCAATACATTACAACTCCTCATTTTCTATATCGCCATTTCCTGAAATCAGCTACTTTCTCTGATGCTATGAGTTTGAAACCTTTAAATTCCACATACAAATAGAAGCATGAAATACTGGTCTTCCATGTCTAGCTTATTTTACTCAATTTCATTTCTTCCAGGTTCACATGTGTTGTAGAATGTGACTGGGAATCTTTACTTATTTAAACTGAATGATATTTGTATTTCTGTGCTTTTTACTTTATTTATGCATTCTTCCATTGATAGACATTTCAAAAGTTTCCTTGTCTTGTCCATTTTGAATAATACAGCTATGACCACTGTTACACTAATATGAGTTTATTTCCCTGCTTTTATTCTTTTGAACCTACACTACATGTAGAAGTACTAGATTCCAAGTTTAATATTTTGGGAAACATTATTGGTGAAATTATTAAGGCCACTCCACATAGTTAAAAGGAGATTTATTTAATGGTGTAACTTACAAATTAAGGGAGAGGTAGGTCGCGGGGTCTGGGGAAGGTGTATCGCAGTCCAGCGGTGTTCTCTGGAGCTCTGCTTGGCCCACCTCCACCGTCCAGGGTCCCGGAACCGAGAAAGCACTCGCTCATCCAGATCTTGGGTCTCTAAGTGCCTCCCTTGGCCCCGCCTTGTAGGCGTGACAGTTGCCAAAGTCTCAATGGGGGTTGGAACTTCCAGATCAAAGCTGGAATGGCTACTCACTACATCTCCCCCTTTTTTAAGAAGGTTCTAACCTAATACAAGACTATATACAAAGGAATGGTTTTCAAATGTTGTCCAGGAATAATGAGGGATAATGACCTAGATAAGATGGAACTACAACCAATGCAAACAATATCAAGCCAGAAACACATACTAAAATCCAGAGAAGTATAGAGCATAGGTAAATGGCATGTTACCAAGATCATTCCAAAAGGTGTCCTATCCTAAAGAACCTGAATCTAATACTTAATATGTTCTCTCTACTAAGTTGTAACTATAACTGCTAGTCTTCAATCCCATCAAAGACCTCAGAAGGAATATAATGGTACCTGAGAAATGGTAGATGGATGCAAGCAACTTTCGGGAATCTTGCAAGAGTAGACCGAGACAGCTGGCAGCCTGGACAGTCACCTAATGTTTCTCAGCATTGTTGGTGCATTCAAATTGGCTACAGGCCTAGAGTATCTGACAGACCATTTTCAGAAGCAGGAATTCTGAAAGACCATCTTACCCTGTCTTGGCAGAGTACAGTGGTTGCTTTCCTTGTGTCCCGCTTGTCCAGAAAGGACAGCACTGCATTCTTACTGTCAGCCGTCGAGGCAAGGGCAGTTCTTTGCCCAGTAGGCCATTTTGTGTCAAGAAGACAAACTTCCAAACGGAAATGTCTTAGAAGCCAAACATTCTCTCAGGATCAAATTGGTGCAGCCAGGAGCAATTGTGTCTCACGTCAACAGAATTCTAAGTTATTTAAATGCCATATTCTCTAGGTCTATGAAGTGTTTGAAGATTACCTGTCCATCTGACGTATGTATCTGTAAATCTGGATAACCTAACTATTGTAACTATAGAGATGACAAGCATAGGTGACTATAAATCTATAAATCTTATCTACCGAAATAACCTAAGGACTAAGGCTTCACATAAACAAGGTAAACAGTCTACAAGCTGGGCAGTGGTGGCGTATGCCTTTAATCCTAGCACTGGAAGCAGAGCCAGGCAGACCTCTATTAGTTCCAGCCCAGCCTGGTCTACAAAGCAAGTTCCAGAGAGAGAATCTTTTTCTGTAAGCCTTCATTGCTATCTTTTAAAGCCTGAAAATCCTGGTTAGCAGATTCCAGAGAGAGAATCTTTTTCTGTAAGCCTTCATTGCTATCTTTTAAAGCCTGAAAATCCTGGTTAGCAGATTCCAGAGAGAGAATCTTTTTCTGTAAGTTTTCATTGCTATCTTTTAAAGCCTGTATCAGTCCCAATAATGACTCATCCTTGTTCTTGTTATTAAACCAGTGTTTGAACACTGTGTGAATTATTACGATGAATGCCAAAATGGTACAGGCCAGATATGCCTTAGGAAGGTCATATATTTCCAGGACGATGTCATTCATCATACAGGCAAAAAGGTTTTCAAATTCTTGTGAGGTAATGTTGACCATATTACAAGAATTACTCAAAATTTGTTAGTCAATTTTAAGGTGTAAAATTATCAAGTACTTTTACTTGAAACAATATGGTTACCTTTTGTGGTTTGGGGGGGTGTAGTAGCACTTTTCACCCAGCAGGTGGTGTTGGTACAGCTCCAAAGCAGGGCCTGCTGGTGATCTTGGCTGACTGCAGCTCTCTGGAATCAAGGTGGCGGGAGCCGGAGCTGGCACTCAGGAAGCAGGGGAGTGCCTCTTTCCCTGGTCTCGGGGCTAAGCTAGGGAACTGAGACAGGACTAGCTGCTCCCTTTTTCAGGAATGAAACCGTGTAGGCGTTCCCTGGTTATATGGAACTTTGCAAGTGGGTTTAGGTACCCACTAGCCGGGGAGGAGGCTGAGGGTGGGAGCCAGCCAGGTCTTTGGAATTTGCTCCACATTGGGCGCCAGATATTGGTGAAATTATTAAGGCCACTCCACGTAGTTAAAAGGAGATTTATTTAATGGTGTAACTTACAAATTAAGGGATAGGTAGGTTGTGGGGTCTGGGGAAGGTGTATCGCAGTCCAGCGGTGTTCTCTGGAGCTCTGCTTGGCCCACCTCCACCGTCCAGGGTCCCGGAACCGAGAGAGCGCTCGCTCATCCAGATCTCGGGTCTCCAAGTGCCTCCCTTGGCCCCACCTTGTAGGCATGACAGTTGCCGAAGTCTCAATGGGGGTTGGAACTTCCAGATCAAAGCTGGAATGGCTACCCACTATAAACACCAACACTTATTCCTCAGAGTGGTTGCAAAATTTTACTTGTCTCACCAGCACTGTGCAAGCATTTTTGATTATCCTGAGTCCTTTGTGCATTAGTAGCTTTTCTCTTCACCATTACCAAAATACATAATAGAAACAGCTTAAGGAAGAAAGGTTTATTTTAGCTCACATTTCCAGGAGATTTCAGTCCATTATGGAAGAATATTCCAGACATGCAGAAGGGTTCAGACTGTCTGCCAAATAATGTGTCCACAAGTGACCTAGTGGCAACCAACTAGGAAGCAGAGGTTAGGACCAGAACCATAAATGAGTATAACCTTCAAGGGATCACCTCATAATCTTGTGTTTGTCATTCAGACCCTGTGTCTCCAAAGTTTCATAACCTCCCAGAACTGTGTCACTACCTGTATTCAAAGTACTCAAAACATGAGCCTGTGTGTTATATTCCTGTTTCAAATAATAATACTTGTCAATATTGGCTATCATTTGATTAGATATATTCTAGTAGCAGTAATATGCTCACATTTTGCTTTTCACAGTTTTTAGTGATATAAAATAAAATTTATCTATTAGTCATTTATGTCTTCTTGTAGAATTCTATTTGATTTCTTGTCTTTTCATTTATTTTTTACTTTGCTTTATTTTTCTAATGAGTTGTAAGTCTTACCTAATACATTTTTGGAAATTAAAACCTTGTCAGCTTTTAAAATAGCTTCTCCTATTTTGTAACACAATTGGTTGGCTATTTCTTTGTTTAAAAATACTCTTCAGTTTGAAGTAATTTCCTTTATCTTTGGTTTGTTGATTGAACTTTTGATGTCATACTCAGGAAATTACTGCCAAGACTGATATCATGGAGATTTTTTTCATATTCTTTCAAGGACATCCACAGACCTTATATTTGAATCTTGAGTCTAATTCCTTCTCCATATAAGAGTTCTTCTCTTGTGTGTAGATATTCAGTTTTGTCATGCTTATCATTGAAGGAACT